TGAAAAGCTTCAGTTAATATGATTCAATCACACTATCATCTGGAATTCATTGGTACGTTATCGGAAAAATGAATAATAATACACAGCAGACAGCTACAATGAGACATGTATTCAAATGTTTCATGACAATCGATGACAAATGAAAGAAATGTAGGCAACATCAAATGATGAACTGTGTTCAGAGAAACTTATCTTTAAAATAATTTTTTATTAAGGGGTAATTCAGAGCATTCATTCGAATGACAAATGCTATGGATACATGCGCAGTATGCTACTATGCTAAGTTAGGTCTTCCAAGTGGCATAAAGCCAGGTAGAACACCGTTTTATTCTTCTAGCTCATTGCGTTCGTTCTGACCTTTTGGAACAATCACGTTCCATCATGCCACACAAACAAATAATGGGAAAATGTTTCAATCTCCCATCACATGTGGCCTCTAAGAATTTTAGACAGCTTTAATTAAAAAAAAGTCGATTTTTTTTCAAACAGTGCACTATGCTGAATGAAACTTAAATTCAAAAAAGAGGTTAAATGAAGGGTTTTTGAAAGTCGTGGATAAAAACAGCATGAACATACGTCTTTATCAACATAATGTGCGGATAACTGTAAAACGATAATTTGCTACTAGTCTCAAGTATTCGACATGAACATCAGTCTTTTCTTCACTCAGTTGAGCGCAACTAGCACAGAGCGGTAGAAAATTTAAAGTTAACTCAATCCGTTGATTTTACAAGGACTATCAAGCTGCTCCTTGGGAGACTGTATGCTTAAACTGTGACTTAATCGGACGAAGCCAATCAATCGGATCCACATGATGGCAGAATAGGAAACTATTTGTATGTATGAACGAGTTCACGGGTCAGCAGATGACTCCCCATAGGAAAGATTTCGCATTCAAATTTTACCATTCTTCGTATACTAACATGAACTTTTTAAAATGAATGCCGGTTTTCGGTAAATCGCTAATGAGAGCGTTAATGAGCACATATTTATGTTTCCAAAACACATTTTTATGGTTAGAATGGGAATCAATTTTTGACAAATTCCTCAAATGGAATAACATGGCGGAAGTCTAGAATATAACGTGCCTGGATGAAGTCATTCTCTGTGATTGCTGTGCAATTTGAGGTCAAGATTTAGGGTCACCAGCTGGATGTGTAAAATTGTGTTAGTCATTGTATGTTTAACATGGGAAATTACGATGGATGTTCTTTTTCAGATTCAGATTAATTAGTCAAGTCAAGAAACTACTTTAGACATGTCATTAAGTGAAATCTGTGCAAAATGTGGGATGACGTATTGTATGAACCAAATCTGCTGGAAATAAATAGAAATCAAAATTATGATGTGCAAAAAGTTTCTGCTTCACTCATTGCCTTCCTTTGAAACGCATTTCGTGTGAGCAGAAAAGCGTGTTGAAGGAAAGAGAACAAAATCATTTTACACCTCCATCAGAATGTTCAAATGGAATGAAAGTTTATCTGAGTGTTTCCTGTTACAATCCATGCTTGCGCCAGAAGAGGATAAATAGAAGATCGTTGTTGGTCGTTTCCAGTCTATGGGAATTCAGGCCATCTACAACTCCATACCGAAATGCCCATGTTAACGAAACGAAGAGATATGAGAATGTCATCTCCACGTCACACTGTCGAGTGTTGCGCCTGAAGCTAGACGGTATCATTCTAGTGACAAATCGCACATGTATTCCAGGTTTGATATAGTTGAAAATGCAAATTTGCATGCCTGCGCAATTTGATTTGATTCGAAAGCTTTAGTACAACTTTGGTATTTAAAACCGAACGCACTTGTGGGAGGATTTGAGACAGCGCTCTATTTGCATACAATTCGCAAACAGTTACGAAGTAAAACGCATGCATGTACAGACATTTGTTGCTCTTAGGGAAAATGAACCATTCATAAAAGGCAACTATACGCTAGCTTGACGTAGTATAACTGGTCGTCGCGATGGGTTTTGACAACACGACAGGTTGTGGAAATATTCTACATAACAGTGCGTAAAAATCTTGCGGTTTTCGGATCAGTAAAATAATCAAAAGCATCCCAGGAAGGCTCGGGATTTTGTTTTGAATTCCTTTTTAATGGACCTGTGATTTACGAAGATCGTAGGTGTGCATTTCCAAAATAACTGACTATTTAAGTATGATGTGCAGAACAACATAAGCGAATGTGAATAAAAANCACGCATTCAATTGACAGCCATTCCAATCACGTCAGTAATGATGTGGTTCATTCATATTTAACAGCTGCTATCAGTAAGGGTTCCTGCTGAGGCAGACACTACTCCCGTCTCGTTAAGTGAACTATAATCCGTGTTTCTAGAACAATGACAGCATGGACCCCTTCCGTCAGTACCATCACATTAACAATAGACTGTTTGTCTATATGAGATGAAGAAGTCTCGAATAAAAATCTGAGACAACGGGTGTAATGAATTCATATGCACTTATAAGCATCAAGCTCGTTACATTCGTTTCACAACCAAATACGAAGGCCCAAATTGCGTCACAGATTTTTTTATTTAGCAGGCCAATAAATCTTCGTTTTGAGAAAACTGGTTTTCAATAGTGAATCAAATAGCAATGATAAAGACAATAATTACTGAGTAGGGAAACAGAAAGAAGTAATTTAAAGTATCAAGCTTGGATTGACGCATTTGATTATTTAGAGGCAACAGAAACTCTTGATGGTCTTGGGTGTGGATTTCACTTATTGGGAGATCGTTGATTCCTCACAATTCTATGCTTTTACATGCGATGGAAATGTTTGTGATAAACGACAGAGAGCACTGGACAGCTGTTTCGTAATGTGAACAGAATTGTTCTGTCGCTCTTATATGTGTACCGACCTTTTCTTGGATTATGTGACAATGCAAAGCGGTATTTTCATTTTATCGCCAAATGTTTAATATCTTTATTATATTTAATATCTTAATATCTTTTTGCTCACGATGTCAAAAATACACATCCCAGAATATGACAAAAAGTCACCTGTTGACGTCGTTTATGTTTGAGTGGCTCAATTGCATTTGTGATAGCTTTGTGACATAGGTTCAATTTCAAAGATGGCTGATACGACAAAGTTATGATCAAAGAAGCTTATTCTACCAGATATTCATGCGTAATATTGAAATCCATAATGCATTGCACCGGTTTTCATCATTGGTAAAAGTAATCAGCATATTTAGATTCCGATTTTGAAGAGTGCCGAACGATTCCAAAACCATGGTGGATAATTCTTATTTTTCGGGACAGATTTTCCAAATGGTTTGTATTATATTTTGCATCGGAAAACTGGAAACATCTGAGGGGCTTTCCGATGCGTAAATGGAGGGAGTGCAACAGGGTTGTGTCAATGAGGTTCAAGGTTTTTTAATCTATGTATATGGGTGTCAGTTCACATTCAATGTGCCCCTTTTAAGAAAAGAAGTCTGAAGTCATGGGAAGAAGGTAAGAAAGAATAACGTTGATCAACTATGAAGGTCCTGTAACCATGATCAGCACTTACTTATTTTTTCCGTTGATTTGAACTGATGGACCTTCAAGCTTTCTCCTCCACATACAATCCTCAGTTAATCAAGTAAACCATGCACTTGGAAGCACTAGACTGCAAACTCTGTTAGAAGAGCTCAACAGTTGTGCAAATGTGAGCGAACTCGAGTCTGTTACTTCCCAGTGCATGGTTGTTTGGATGAGCTGAGAATTGTGTGTAAAGGTGAGGTCTGAAGGATGGTCACTTCAACTCCTTATATATCATCCAAAACCACTGCCCACAAGTAACTGTGAGTTAAATCCACATTATTTTGTATTTCTGAGATATATAATTTGTTCCGCAAAGTGATCCAGTAGCATTAAGATAGCTATAATGTGCCAACTGATAAACTCTTCTTTGGTGTCATCCCCGTGAATTTTTCAGCATCACTATTCGTTGGGCATCGTAAAATATTCTTTCATTTACTCACACTATTCTCTACTGTCTATGCATCTTGGAAGGCAACATATTCAAAGTTGGACCGGATAAAACGACAAAATCTGTATTATGGGTCTTATTGTGGATACAGCTCGCAGCGAACTCGATGAGAAAGCATTCAGTATAAACGTGAATCCTGAATGGAAAGTTCAATGCCCAACTGAAAACTATTCGTTCGCCCGTTTATTTATTACTCCTCCTTTTACAGAAATCAATGTAACGGTAAACTTCATAAAATAGCATAGCGCAACATTTGCGTCGTATTGTATTGTATTGGGTATAACTTTCGCAATGTCGGTAGAGAATCATATTCTCTACCGACATTGGCTGTACTATTAACACTATAAAATTCACGATAAATAATGTCATCCCGTGAATAACGACGACGCATGAAATTGAGTGAAAACGTGAACATTTCGACAACATGACGGAGTGAGTGTCAGTGTAGGGCAGCCAATAGATGGGCGCGCGCGATAAATGATATTAACAAAAGGGAAGAATTTATATCACAGAACTTAACGCCTACTTTTCATTCATAGTTAACGTTATTCCACAGGTGTAACTGAATTGGTAAACTAACTGGAGACTCAAAAAGATAAGTTTACCATTGAGGAAGACATGCAAAGTACCTTCCCATCTAATGATATGGCTTGAATTTCTTGGAATCTGGCTTTCGACCTGAGGATTCAGCACATGATACATAAAGCAACCAGATCCAATTCGACAATTGCCTTAATCTAAAGGCCTCAGAGAAGGAATTAGAAAGCTCAAAGTTGTCAACGGCTGGAAAGAAAAACACTGTCTTTCTCGATGAATCAACCGATGATAAACAAGCGAATTCCTGAGTTTCAATGCAGTCTTCTGCACCCGTTATTGATTGTTTTGTATTTATTGGTTGTCACCATGTTTTACCAATGATTAAACATTCCATGCGTTCACAATATAAACTATTAACCAGTGAGCAATCACAGCTGCGTGCGGTGACATCTTCAACATCATTTTTGTTTTGTAAGAAATCTATGAAACTGTTGACACCCACTACTTATCTAAAACCTATATAATCCAATGGCGTTCTGTAGGGAAACATGCGATGCCAACGAATATGTTGGGCCAGCGGTTGGCAGTTGTTGCACTATTGTGCACATCCATTGCTCTATCCGCCGATCCCGATGCAACCACCGGTTGCACCTATACGTTGACTGCAACTGAAAAAGATGCAACATTCGTTGTCAATAGCACCGATCCCAAGTGTCAATGGAACATCACTGCAGATGCGGGAAAGAATATCAAAGTCTATTTGGACGAAGATCAGGTTGGTTAATTGTTCTGCTGATGTGGCATTCATATGTTTCAACAACTTTCTTTCTACTGTAAAACTCATGAGTAATTATGTTTTCTTTTTTCACGATAGGGGAATGATGGAAGTAAATGTGTCAAAGTGTCTGGTCAAAACCCGGATGCAGAAACAAACTACGACGAGATCTGCAACAAGCCTACTCAACGAATCTTCAAAGCGCAAGCTCCCATAATTGTGAGTCCACCCGAAACGACAACCACTACCTCAAGTAGTACACAATCGACTACTACAACTCCCACCGGTGAAGGCGGTGATGATGAAGGTAGTGGTGGTGGCAGCGGTAGTGGTGGGAGCGGTAGTGGTGGGAGCGGTAGTGGTGGCAGCGGTAGTGGTGGCAGCGGTAGTGGTGGCAGCGGTAGTGGTGGTAATGATAAGGACGAGGGAGCTGGTGGTGAAAGTTCCGACGAAAATTCTGGAGGCGGCACCTCTGGTGAAAACGGAGATTCTTCAGGTGCTGGAGAGGTTGAAGGACCAGTAGACCACAACCCTGGCAGCAGTAACGGTGAAAATAGCGTTCCAGTGCAATCGGGGAGCGATAAAATGGAAGAGAATCCTGAGACCCAATCTGGTGTGATCTCAAGGCTCGTGAAGACTAGGGGCGCTGCATCAGAACAGCTGACTGTACACTTCTTGTTGGGTAAGTTTATTCTGTTATACAAAGCATACTCCTTTTTCTCAGTTATCACAAGTTATCGTTTATACGAACAGATATTTATGCTTATTTATGCAATGCATTTTTCAGACTTCGTTCCAAAATTATCACCTTCGATCAATGCAATTTTGTTGTGTGTCATTCACCTTATGTGGACTTGTTACTGGTGAGTGAGCGTTCAGGTTTTCGGGTCAAATTAACCGACCTTATTTTGTATAAATTGTCAAAAGCAGATAGTTACCGCTTGATTTGTTTTAGTTTTTTACATTAACTTATTACGAGATAACATTATAATTTTTGTTTCAGAGAATCTGTTTGAACCAAGGCCGAATACCCTGACATTTGCTTCAATTCCCCACCCCGATAACTGTACGAGAATATTGACCTTTCATTCCAGTGAAATATATAACTTGTATGTGCTATATTGTTTAATCCAAACCAAACATGTTGACAATGAATATTTTGCAACATTTATTGGGTTGATTTTCTATGTCATTTTGCTCAAGTCATATTTGCAGTTAGGTTGCGAGAAATTGGGTTACAGCTCCTTTGGTAAAAACATCCAGTTCAAAGATATTGCCAGTCTGACTTCAGTGCTTGACATGTCTCCTCACATTCGGTATCACCCTTTTCATGGTGCAAGTAAAGCAAATTACTGCTACTATACATAGGGGACCAATTGCACCCAGGGGTAAAAGTCGAATTAATCTGATTTACAAACAATTTGTTTTGCAGTGCCGCATCAGCTAGTCATATGCGGCACATTCCTAGATCTAAATTAGAATGGGGACGCAATGTAAAACAAATCATTTGTTGGTGAATATGGTAGGAAAGGCATTGAACAATGTGAGGCCAAAGTCAAATGAGCGATGTTCCGATAGTTGCTACTTATTACTTATGGTATTTATGTTGCTTAATTGGGTTAGCACCGGACACTTTGCGAGCTTTTACTAATTGATTTTACTCCTTCGAATAGCCATCGCCTCGCGTTCTTTGAGTGCCCAAGAGACTCCGGCTGTATGAAGCAGAGGTGGCATGATCACACTGTCGAGCCGCGGGTAATCAGAAGATTATCACAACAGGAATCAGTGATCAGATATTCTCGTGTTTGATTGCAAAAATGATGGGAGAACATTCAAAACAGTTAGCAAACAGTGACAGAGGAAAATTCACCTCTGTGAGCTCACGGATGGGAATGACAGAATGATGTTAAACGGTCAAGCAATCGTACTTATTTTAGTTAAACCTATCGGGAGTATCCATCTGACCCAATGATTTAACCACATTATTCAAGTGAGTTATCATAGTGACCTGCAAAACAATACGGAGTGACACACAAGTTCGTTTTCCGTGGTCCGTGTTGCACCAACAAAGAAAATTGTCTTGGAGAATTGAACCATATCACTTTGTTAGAAGTGGTTTCACTATGAAATCTAAAGATAAATCCACATTGATTTCATAGTTGTTTGCTTACGCATCTAATAGTAAAAATATTGGTTTGGTTTGGGTTGCAACAAGGGAGATCTGATACTTGTACAAATTGTTTTCCAGAAAACAATAAGAGGATGCGCATACGAGTTGCCAATATCCCTGCTTTGCCTAGGGATGAATCTGGCACGGAAATGAACCACAAACCTTGAAAAGTTGGTGGCAAGACTCGGCCACGTTCACAACTTGACTTGTGAAACCACTGCGCTGCCATATGAAGTGTGGTGTTCACGTACGCGCTCAGACAATCGCTTGATCGTGCGCTTATCTTCATTGTTTCCCATGAACTGGAAAATGAGTGCACCGCAATTGCTTCATCGTTTCACATCCTCTTGTTGCTCTTAGCTGTGACCTCAAACAAATAAATTGACTCGACTTAATATACCTCAGCAGCTTTCTTAATCCGTATCTGAGACGAGTCAAGCACAGTATCGTGATTGTTTGAACTTCTTTTGTTCTCTCCATAACTGACTCCTGTGGAGATTCTCTACCAGCACTTCAGTTTCAGTCTCTACAACGAATAACCATGTTTTACTGTGCGCTGGTATTGGTTGCTGTCTTTTGGCTGCCCATTTGGATGAACATGAGGAGAAAGACCGGAAAGGTTGAAAGTAGGGTCGACGAGGAAACTTAGGATTTCATTGCACTAATTTTGCAGAGAACTCGACAAGATGCAAAAAGATCACTATTTACGACACCCAGCCATATCACTCAGTGTATCCCACTATCAGCCATCTTACCATCATCTCGAGGTCTCCATTCGGGGAGCCTAACGGGTCCTATTTGACCCAGACTCCTGGTTAGCGTTTTAATATCTTCATGCCACGTCTTATCTTGACCACCCTTGAATATATTCCACCCACTACCTGCCTCGGCGATCTTCGCTCCCCGTGGCAACCTATCTGGTGACATGCGTAAAACATGCCCCAAAAAACATGATCTATGGAGGTCGACTACTTGCTCCATTGGGCGACCACGATGGCCCAAAACTCTACGCCTAACCTCAGCATTGCTTATCCGGGTGCCCCACCAGATTCGTGCATTGCTGCGTAGAATGCGGTGTTCGAACACCGACAGTCTATCTTTATCCCGTTTCCTTAATGGCCAAGTTTCTGCGCTGTATAGCAGAACTGGCCAGATTTCCGTAGCATACACTCAACCTTTAACAGACAGCCGGATGTCACGACGGCACCACAGATGTCTCAAGTTGGCTGTCCAGATAGCAAAATTTGTCTACTTGCTCTAATACTTCCCCAGTTATGGTGGGGCTGGGTGTAGGACCAACCCAGTCTTGAAGTAACATTTTACACATTGAAGGTGAAAAACACATACCGAACCTGGTTACACTACCACTCAAACTATCCCGAAAAGTTTGCAACTTACCTAAATCTTCACTTACTAGCACAATGTCGTCTGCATACTCTAGATAAGACAGCTTGCCATTTGCGATGCCACCATTCTCGCACGGGGACAGGACTGTTTCAAGAATTGATTCTATCACGAAGTTAAATAAAAACGGAGTGAGAGGGTAATCCTTTAGAACACCAATTTCCGTGGTGAACTCGCGTGAAAACGTGTCGTAAGCTCCGAATCGACTTTGGCTATCACCATAAAGGGATTGTAGTATTGAAACAAACTTCTCGGGCACACCTTTCAGAGCAAGACAGTGCCAGAATTTACAGTGGTCGACTGAGTCGAAGGCCGCTTTCAGATGGAGAAAGACAGAGATGGTGGGTCTACGATAGCAATTTCGGTGATCAAGAGTTTGGCGAAGAATGAAGATGTGGTCGATACAACCTCGACCAAGTCCAAAGCCAGCCTGGTTCTCACGCGTGCACCGTTCACGTGCGACAGACAATCGACGGAGTAGGATCCTAGAGAGACGTTTAAGGACGATGTTGATTAAACTTATTACTCTGTCGTTGTCACAAGAGGATCTATCCCCTTTCGTGTAAATCGGTATGATGACCGATTTACCCCATTCAGTTGGAACCTGTTCCCTCTCCCACACTGAGCCCAGGAATGTTGTTAACTCCGAGACTAAGGCTGAGCATCCATCCCTAAAAGCCAATGGGGACAGCCGGTCTGGGACCGGGAAACCTACATTTAAGATGGAGAACTGGAATTAACTGAGAGTATTTGCCCAGTCCAGGAGAAGGGTGATAGTTTAGACGTCGACGGTGACCATTTGAACGGAACCTTGAAGTGTTCAGCCCAACGGTCAAGACGGCGTTGCTGGTCGTGAATCAGTGTGCCCTCGGATTCCTTAATTACCTCAATTGAGCCTATTTTCCTGGGGCCCATTTTCCTAATTAGACAGAAAAGATTACAACTATTACCAATAGCCGCGGCCTTTTGCATCTCTCTATACTTTCCTATTCACCACTTCTCGCAGTGATTCCGCAAGCTCTTGATGAACTGGCGTTTGAGGGATTTGCGCAGTGTTATATGTGGCATCAGGAGGAAGAGTTCCCGCAGGCGTCCAGCAGGGCAGTCGAGATAGACGAGATTCATCGTTTGTGTTTTGCGGCAGGGTCTGCGTTGTTTTTATCGACATTTCCATAGCTTCCTTGATTTGCTTCTACGCAGGAAGAATCCGTGGTCGGCACAGAGTTGAAGTTAACGATCTCCGTTGTCCGTCCAGTTGCCCGGTATTGCATACGGTTCGCCATGAAGCCTTTTTGATTCATCCAGAGATCCCACTTGAACATTGAAGTCTCCAGCGACCACTACGATGTCCGCTGATCCAACACTTAGGAGTAACTGAGAAAGATCCCTGTATAATTCATCCTTTATTTCAGGTGTACTGCAATCAGTCTGTGATACACCGATACGACGAATAGCCAAGGACGCTTCGTTCTGTAACTGTTGACCCGTCCTGAGCCGTTGAGACTTACAGCGCATAGTCGGCTACTGACTGGAATCCAGTCAAGAAGCGAGCGCTTAGCCTTGGCAAAAAGTGCAATCCCAACACCAGCGACCCTGCTAGCTTCGGATTCAGAATCGCCTGAAATACGGAGAGTGAAGCGTGAGGTCGAGGTTGGGTTAGGAGAACGCAGGGAAATGAGTGACGTAGGGTCTTGTATGCATGTTTCGGAAAGACAGCATACATCTAAATTGAAGGTTCCAAAGATTCTAGCCAAGGCAACACTTCAGCAGCATCCGATTCATGCTTTGCAATCCTAGTTTACCCGACAATCAAAAGATCTATCGGGTTCATTTATTCATCGATCGGATGAATCATCTGTAATATGGAATATGGAACTTGCCCAGCTAACCCGGGAGAGAACCCATACATTGTCTTCAGCCGTGAGTTTTTAGTAAACCCAGTGAACTTCCCCTGGGCACAGTAAAAGTGTCAATGTGACACGACCGGATTAAAGGTGAGAACAAGAGCACCACATACATTACGAGTTGATAATCAGAACGTCGTGTCGGGATGAAGGATTCCAGGTTTCGCGAGCCGCGGAACATGATTTAATCAGATTGTTGAGAAGGCAAAAATAAAGTTAGTTGTTTAAGGTCATGCGCCAGAGGGGCAAGATGATGTGGAACGATATACCAAGTGCACCGTATATGCAGAAAAAAGTGGCAAATTTGGAAAATTTGTCCTTCAACCACAAACACTGTTGGCTTGTACGTAAACAGCACGCAATTTTGATACCTAAACCATAGAAAGTTTCAGAGGTGTCGGTGTCTGTCTTTTCAAATTGGTTTGCATGCATCAAGAGCTGCATTGAACCAAATTATTGACGGTTAAGTCAAACAAAGAGAAACTGCATTTCGTTTTTATTTATTCCCTTCCTAAAGTTAGTGTTCCTTTTCGACGAGCAGCACTGAAACTCCCTAGAAGTGCGATTGAGTTCAATAATGATTGCATCACACAAAAATATCACCCATGTATTGTATTTATTTTATACAATGTTTGTTGGACGATTACGACGGATGAAATAATCATATTCCTTGCATGGCAGACAGGTCAAGAGGAGTCTGCAGCGAGGGGACGCCGAAGACCGGCTCCGGTTTGCGATATCGATCTGTGCACAGAGCGGGTACCCGGAAAATATTTAGTTCATGAAGAGCGCTTTACAAAAGCCTGAGATTAAACAACAGTGTACAATTCTGTGCTTTTCAGAGGGACAAATTAACTGACGCCATGCAAAGGAGATTATCTGGTGCAAAGGAGATAACGTTATACGCATCAAAACTGTGTTCTTCACGCCTAATCCAAGTGTGTGTTTGAGCAGAGCGATAGATTTCACCACTCTGCGAGCTCATTCTCTATACACATTTACACTGTTTCTATTTGCGGAAGTACTGGAAGGAAAAATTTGATATCTGGAGCCATTTCGGTGATTTGACAGGGCTTTCGCGATATACTGGTGCATACACTGCCCTTGATCACGTGTTATCCCGTCTAAAAATGTATCCCAATTGTCAAGATGCTTGAAAACAAAGAAATCAACTAGCACCACTCTATCAACTCCACTGTAGAAACGAGATTATTTAGGTTTCTACCTACTAATTTTATGGAA